ACCATTAATTTTTTATTTTTAACTTCTTCATCCAAGATGAAGCACGAGACAAGATTGGCCTAAACTAAGAAGTAGAAAATTTTCAAGGAAAAAGGGTCGAATCATACCTCCCCCAAACTTTGATAAAGAAACCCCATAATTCCGTGTCTCTCTCCTTCCCTACAGCACCAAATTGGAGCCCCCACTCTCTTACCATTCATTTTCTCTGTTCCAAGCAGTCTGGCAGTCTGGCTGAAGAAATCACCAGATGAAGATCCAGTGCGATGTCTGCAACAAGGCTGAGGCGTCGGTCTTCTGTACGGCCGACGACGCCGCCCTTTGTGACGCCTGTGACCACCGCGTCCACCATGCCAACAAATTGGCATCTAAACACCAGCGATTTTCCCTCCTCCATCCTTCCTCTACCAAACAATTCCCCCTATGTGATGTCTGTCAGGTATAATTTCAATGTTCTTTGGTCTTGAATTTTGATTGAATTTGATTTGATTTATGGGTTTAATTCGGTTTTCCTTGTTTGTAGGAGAAACGGGCGATTTTGTTCTGTCAACAAGACAGAGCAATCCTGTGCAGAGACTGTGACGTTCCAATTCACACGGCCAACGAGCATACCCAGAAGCATAATAGGTTTCTTCTTACTGGGGTGAAGCTCTCCGCCACCGCCACCGTTTACACACCATCTCCTGGCGATTCTGTAACGGATTATAATTCTGAACCGATTAACAAGAAACCCGTCCCTGTTTCGCTGGCAATTTCAAACACATCTCCGGTTACCAAAACTTCAACTGTAACAGCAGCTGAAAACGCTGCCGGAGATAATCAGCTTGCGATTTCAGAGTACTTGATGGAGGTGCTTCCCGGTTGGCACGTTGAAGATTTTCTTGATTCCTCCTCTGCTCTTCCCTTCGGTTTCTGTAAGGTTTGGAGCTGAACCTTCCCCCTTTGGTACTTTCTTTCTGCGGAGTAATGATTTAGAATTTCTCCGATCTGAAAACTTTGATTGGGTGCAGAGCAATGATGGGATGTTGCCATTTTTGGACAAGAGCAACATGGTAACTTTCTCATCGGAAAGTTCAAGTATTTGGGTGCCTCAGACGCCATCTCCGAAGATGTATCCTCTTCAATATTCTCCCCAGTTGGGTGGACAAATCGGGTTCACGGAGACAAAGGAGATTGCGGGCATGAAATCAAACCGGAGATGGACAGATGATGTTTTCACTGTCCCACAAATCAACCCTTCATCCAAAAGATCTAGGCTTCTTTGGTAGAATCAAAATCAAAAGCACTTTCTTGTTTTTTATTTTTATTTTTATTTTTTTGTTCATGGTGGATGTGAGTTTCAGTTTCTGATTTCAATTTAGCTTGATGTTTTTCTTTTTCTTCTCCCTACTTTCTGTAGGAGTTTTGTTCGATCACTCTGTTTTTCTTTTTATGCTGTGTAACTGCAAAATGCAAACTTCCCCTGTGAATATCAATGGAATCTGTAAAAGTTTTTAGTTTTTGTCTCAATTCAGACATTTTGTGTCTGAAATTAAGGGATTAAGAGAAATTACACGTCCTAACTCTGGTCATAATTAAGGATTGAGTACCTAAGAATGTAATGTCATTATCGGAAATCAAAGGATAAGTTGTTGTGCGTTTTGGTCTGACATTGTGAGAAAGTACAAGAAGAAGATGAGAGGGACAGCTTATGGGGTGTGGGATAAAGAACAGGAGAAAAGGGATGACCTAGTTTTTGTCTTACTGCTGGTCGCCCAGCATACCAAGTCACAAACCCAACCAGATTTCGGTTTCAACAATTGAAGGGTTTGATGCATTTTTCTTCCCATTTGATAGTGATCTTCTGGGCCTTGCAGTTTGGGGGGTTTGCTGCAGTATTCTTCGGTTGTTTCCAATTGAAGAAGGTCTCCTGGGTCTTTCTTTTTCTTTTTTTTGATAAGTTCTGGGTCTTTCTTTCAGCCCGCGGCTGCTGTGCTTTTGTAGTGTGGGCTTTTACCACATTCACTTAAGCCTACAAAGGAATATATAGGGCAGGCCTAAGGACGCTTTCTAGAAGCCGAGGATCAAATTATGGTCCCCACAAACAACCCTTCTTTCACTTCTCTACATTTTTAAGATCATGAAGATGCACATCTCAATATTTGAATTGATTGGTAAGCAAGTATTCTTAAATCTTGACATCATCACATAACGTTCGAGATTATGAAGACGCCTCTTTCTCGGCCAAATCACATGGTGATCACCATATATTTATATAAAGTAACAATTCTACAATAACAAAGGCTAAAACAAAACACAAAGGGTAACTAAAAAAGAGACATAGAACACGATGAAGGGGGACACTTCCATTAGCACGAACATAGCTCTATCTGGGCAATATCTTGACTAGTTTCGAATAGGTCCCGGGATGATGCTTCTATCTTAGTGGGGACTTCATTGGGCATGAAATGATGAGAAGATCTTTCAGGGAATCCTTTTTTTATAGCTGGCCCTTTGGTACTTTTTTGCATCATGGGAAAAGTGGCAAGATAATTTCCTTCACCCTTCTTTAGTAAAAAGGGTTAAGAAGACCAATTGACGGTACCAAACGCAATCCAAAACCAAAGAGTTATCATATTGTATTTTCTCAGACAGTAATGGAGATGGAGAACCTCATAGATCCCAAGTACACATTAACCGGTTGCCGATTAGCCCAGTAAGGACTCACGGTGGGGTGGGGTGAAGAGCTTTTGTAGGTACATTTTTTCTTTTTAAATGGGGAAAAATTTGTAATTTTTCAACATTAGGTATAATCATTGAACATAACTTCATTAATTATAAATTTTAGTAAACTTTATTTAAATATCACTTTTTTTTTTCTAAAAAAATTAAAGATTAAGAATTAAATTTCAAATATGTAATTAAAAATATAAATAATTTTATCATTAATCATATAACTAATAATTCAAACATTACTTTTATTAAAATTCAAAGTCTCAAATTATACTTTAAAAAAAAAAAGAAAAAGAAAAAGAAAAATCCCATACCAATTGGTCCTCCCTCTTGATTTTATTTTATTTTATTTTTATTTTAAACAAGTTGCAAATAGTTTTAATATTAGGGAAAATGTGGCATTCAAGGAATCAAAACTCAAATTCAAAGTTATTTTCACTTAAA